AACGGCACATTTTTATCACACAAGACACCGGAAGCGAGCCTCCACTTCATCCACCCTGTTCCGGTACGGTGTGTGACATCCTCATCTATTTCCCCATCCTTTTGAATTATAGATCCCAGATACTTGAAACTCTCTCTCCTTGGAATGACTTGCGTATCAAGCCTCACATCCCCGTCCGCCTTTTGGGTAACACCGCTGAACTAATACTGCTCAGTTCTTTTACTTGTCCAAAATAAGAAGTTTCTACTTCCATGCTTGTTTGTGTTTCGTAATTATTCTGACCATCTAATAGATGACACACACTTTGCATTATTCGCCACATTTATCTGTTTTTCCACTAGCCATTCTTTCTCTTTTAATCGGTAGGTAATATTGTTCAAATCATCACAGTGCCAAGTGCTCTTTCTTTCTGTAGTTGGAAGAATATTGCATCTCGATCATTAGGAGAATCAAAGAATTTTACTGTTGGCCCGGAGACATAGTGATGGGTTCTGGAAGCTCTGCATCGGTTGGGGAGCTTCCCATATACCTGAGGTATGAGATGGACTCCAAAGATTTAGATCTTAATTCCAGCTCCACGCCATCAGAAGGAATTGAAGATGACATGAAGGCAGCTGCACAAGATATTGCCAGTTATCAGGTCTCTTTTTTTGGATGCACTTTCTGGGTTTATTGCCTCGTTATTTCTGTTGTGAACTTAGAACTACTACAATAATTATAATGAGCATTAGCATGGTTGCATGCTAGTCATGGTCAGAATCAAGGACAAGGGAAGGCTTTGGTCGTATGAACATTGAACCATGTATATTCAATTGGGAACAAGTGAGGAATATAAGAGCTAACAACTGCATGTTATGGACATGCACAATTAAACAAGCTAGCTGTCAATCTTGAAACTTGCTCTAGCGTAGGTCTTGCCATAATCCTGTTCACAAATGTAGGACCCCCTTTGAGTTAGATTTGCATTTTGAGTTAATAGGATTTCCGAATTACAAAAATTAAGCACTGAAGATCCTATTGTCATTGCTACATTGTTTTTTCTCTGCTCGTAACGCTTTTGATTTTAGTTTTTCTTTTTTCTTGTCAAGGCCTTTTTGTGCTTTTTAAACTAATTATCCTCATCTGGATTTCAACTCTTGCTGTAAATGTGTTTAGGTTACTTCATACTACTTCTAGATCATGCGTATGGCTTTTCCTGCCACTTCTAAAATATTCCTTGATGTCAATTCTAATTTTTCATGCTTAATTCCTATGGTTGGGTGTTCCAAGTCTATAGTTGCCAGTTAAAAGTATGGCTATAGATTTGTCATGAACATTTTCAATTGACTTTTTCATATGTTCCTGGAAGTTGTTGGTTTGGATGTGCTTATCATAGTTGATGTGGTTATATACGTGTGCCAATCAGGTTGTTTTATCTGAGGATGGTAAAATTGTTGGCTTCCAGCCGACCAGTCGTGTTGCTGTTAATCAATGGGCAGCAAACCCTTTGGTGAAAGAGCTCTATGGAGGGACAAAACTTTCTCCTGGTATACAAACATTCATACTAGCTGTTTCATTAATTGATGGTCTAATCTATGAAAATATCAGTTACTTAGCTAGGATGATTGTTGGATGCAGGCTTGATAGAACGAGGTCTCAAGATAAGCCATCCAGGCGATGTTATTGTACTGGAACTATTGATGTCAGTAAATCCTCAAAGTTCTTTTGCTTTGGTAAGACCAGTTAATGCGATTGCTGAAAACTGTTGATGAACATGTTTGCACCTTCACATTCAATACTTGTACAACTAGTTACAGAGATGGGCAAGCCTTGTTCCAGGTATAAAGGATTAGAGGAATTTACAATACTTTGGGTTCCCTCTTTACTTAACTGTCATGTGAGTTTTCTTGGCATCGCTGCAGAGTAGTGCGGTTGATGAAATGACACAATGTGTTGACAACTTTTGTACACAACCCGAACTTCCTCAGTCTGTCTGTAGTAACTGTGGCCGACTCACAATGCATTGAAAGACCATTTGGTGGAAGGTAGTAAAACACCTAGTCCATCACTAACCATGTAAATTCGAAGGCCCTCCTCCCCTTCCCCGGGGCAAGTTGTAAGCACCAACGGAAGGCCAAGATATCATAACTTTTGTTCCATACAAGAAGTGCTTCCTCTAAAATGGTTTTGACTAAACTGAGAAGCTTTGTCCGGTCATCTTTGCTCAGTACTGCAGTAAGATGTTACAGAAAAAGTTTACTGTGAAGTCACCAGACCTATGATTTGAAAAAGAAGAAAGATGCAAGTGAATTAATTCAGTTCCTGACTTTCAGTTCCTCTTTTGCTGCATTCCTTAACTTCTGAACATGTCATGCTGACTATTGATGTTACCATTAGCGGAAGAACATAAAGTGGAAGAACAAAGAATTTCGTAAAATTGAGAGCTTTTTGAAAGTAATTCTAGTACATTGGTTTCCACCAATGTGTAGTTCAGAATTTTATAGTCCATTAATTACCATTACCAATCAGTTCAATGACCGTGCAATTGACTGCTTGGCTAGTACAAATACCACAAATTCCATATAGAAATTATGTCTATCCAGCCGCATCTTGATCTCTTTGTGAATATCCCATAAGTTTATGGGATTAAAGAGATGATCTCATATTTTGAGATCTCTTTTAAGGGGATATGTAACCCTTTTTATAAGAGTAACCTCTGTACTTATCTTCCGGAGGCTATGGAGTTAGGAATAGTTTCATTTCTATTCTTCTTTGTCGTACGATTTTATTCTATCATTGTTGATTAGACCCTTTTATTCTGTTCTCTCGTGGATGGCGAGGATGCGTACCGCATCTTCAGCGGCTCGTGCATATCAGGAGTTTGACCGCTATTTTGTTGTGTAATTTACCTAATATGGAGGTATACATAATTCGACGAGGATATAGATTAATAATGTGGCTTTATGGAAAAGAATGATTTTTATCGAGCACTTTTTGAGTCAACTTAATGTTATCAATCTTGGCTAAAGACTACCAATTTTAACTTCATGGCTTCACATCATTTGCCAACCACCATCATCAGCCACCACTGCCACCAATCAATCCACAAACTACCACCACTAACCACCTTTGTGACTACCCTTCGCTGCACGACATCTATTGTCAACCGTTTACACAAAACAACGAACCACCACCATCAACCACCTTCACTAGCCATTATTAGTCACTTGCCATCAATCATCTCTACTTCCACCGCCAGCCTCCACACAATCACTCCTGCTAATTCCCAGCACTACTCACCATTGCTACTAGTCACCCCCATGAGCCATTTCTCCGCCAACTTAAATGCACAACCACCACCACTAACCACCTCCATCACTAGCGGCTATCATTCATCGTTTCAGCACGTATGTCACCACTGGCCGCCATCGAACAATCAGGGGCGGTTCAACGGATCTCGTGGCATAAGGCGAAACCATATTGAGAGGTCCTTAAATTTATTTTATAAAATATTTACACTAACAGCAAAATTTGCTTTTTAAATAACAAATTAATTATTTAAGACAAAAAAAAAAAAGCGAATTTCGAAAAAAAAAATAGGAAGAGCACAAAAAATAAAGTGGTGGACTATCAGATGTTGAGGTCCATAACTCAAAGTGAAAATTTTGATTTAGCTATCATCACAAACAAGAAAAAGAAATAAACGTACATAACGTAATAGCTTCAGTTTTGAGCATTGACGGTATAAAAAATATTTACTCCTTCTAATCAATTTAAACGATAATTATAGTTCATTCTATTAAGTACTTAGCACTTATTGGTGAATATCTAAATGTCACGACCCAAAATCCCAACCTGTCGTGATGGCGCCTATCTCGATACTAGGCAAGCC